ATTATATTACGTGTCCATCCTTCATCATTTGCTGCGAGGTTCGCCAACTCCGAAAAAGCCTGACACATTTCGTCGTACCTCAACTGTCTAGGAGTACTTACCATTCCATCATAATTTACTGCGATCCTCGTGTATACTCTACTGACATCTCTTCTCCATCTCCTTATTATATACCGCTCAGGTATCGATGTGATGTTGTTACGAATCAAGACTGCAATTGCATGCCTACAAATGATTCCTCGAAATTCGAAAAGATGGCAGCTACAAATCACTTCGCAAGTATCTCTCCGAAATGATATGCAAAATGTTTTTTTCTTCCGATGATCATGAAGTGTGACATGCTCACGAACCTCATACGTCGACCAAAAAGAATCATTTGCAGTTTCAGATATGACATCGCAATATATCTTCCCAGTGAACTCCTCTTTAACTTCTTTAAACTTTGAAATGGTATAGATTGCTTGAAATTGCTTTTCTATTTCGAAAGTTGTCGCACAAGGCTCCATTTGGGAGTAGGATTTAAAATCAGCCTGAAACTCCTTCTCAACCTTATTTCTCAGTGCTCTCTCGTACTGCTCGACAAACTGCTTTAGTGAAGTCTTTGAATGCACATACCCGTCGAAAAATGCATTCATACTCTCACTTTGTTGTGTAGTCGACATGCCGGCCCAGAACGTGGTTTTCAAAAAACAAGGCACCCACCTACCTCTGTTCTCGTACAACCCCGATAACCAATCATTATTGTGCAAGTCATACGTATCGAGCATCAACCTCCAACCTTCTTCGAATTCTTGCCCATTTTCGGAATCATATACCAATCCATGTATTGTAGAAATTATCGAGCTCTTATGAACGTGATATCCGAACTTTTCCAGCAACTTTTTCATAATATGCCACAAACACCATCTATGCTTCGTGTTAGGAAAAACTATCTCAATTGCATTTTTCATTGCACAGTCTTGATCAGTAATGATTCCATTAGGAGCTTGTCTATACATGCACTCAAACCATGTTCTGAACAACCACACAAAAGTCCCGATGTCCACATTTGATAATAGTCCACAGCCCAGCAATATGGATTGTCCATGATGATTCACCCCAACAAAAGAAACGAACGGTATGTCATACTTATTAGTGAGATACGTAGTATCGAAAGTGACGACATCACCGAACTCTTTGTAAGACTGCCTACATCTGTGATCTGCCCAAAAAATATTCTTTAGCCTGCATTCCTTGTCAAAGTTCATACTATAGTAAAATCCTGAGTACCGTGCTTGCATCTTTGAAAAGTACGCTTGTATTGCGAGGGCATCTTCTTCTCCAAGGCATAATCGTCTCACCTGTTCAATGTAATTCTGACAATTCTTTTCCACAAAAGCAGTATTCTCATATCCACCAGTTTCCATAACTGCGGAGTTATAATTCTTGTGCAAGGGAATTCCTGCCATATCATTCACATCAAGCTTTTGTACAACGGAATTCCTGCCACAAAATTCATCATTATCACAAGTGAATGTGTAATGTACAGCCAC